GATACTGACTGAAGTGATTATTGAGTGGAACTATCCAGTCGAATTAGTGTGAATTATTGTGCGTCAATGATTTGGGTTTTGATTTAGGATTTACCGGACGTTAAGTCGAGCCGTGCTACTAACAAGGTATTTACTAAAATGGTTAATTATCTTTCGTTGACTTTTACTTCTTTCATCTTGTTAAGTATTTATTTGCGGTTGTAATTAAATGCTGTTTTATTTAACATTAAAGTCTTGAGTTATACTTAATTATTAACGGCCATCGGACGTCACAAAATATCTAGAGATCCTTGATAAAATCCCCAAAAGAATCAACAATATTATTGGTCCTGATCTGGCATATCGGCTTCAGTCACTTTCCCAATGCTGTACAGTTGCCTCCCTACGATTTTCTATAAATACACCCACGGCAACTGTTCGGATAAGCTATTCACCATGATACCTAGACTTTTTAAGCTCAGTACTAGATTGTCTCACAGTTGATTTGGTTAGATGCGACCGTAAGTCTTACCGTGCGGCTTAATGGTTAGAATCTCCGACTGACACCAATTCAGTCGGGTTTCGATCCTAGCTAGAGGCAACCGGATGTCTAGCCACACTGATGAGCTGTAAACAGCGAAACAGTCTGTCTGTGGATGACGTTATATATATATATATATATATATATATATATATATATCTATACGTATGTGTGTGTGCGTATATATGTATGTATATAGACATGTATATATGGCTATATATAGATATGTATTTATATGCATCTCTCTTTATATAGATATGCATATATATCCATCAGTAAATATATTGATATGTATATGTGGATATGTATATAGATATCTATATATATTCATGTGTGTATATATATATATATATATATATATATATATGCATACATATATAGAGAGTATGTATGTATGCATGTATATATATATATATATATATATATATATATACGTGACAGATATATATATATTTATATATAATCATGTATATATATAGACATGTATATATATCATATTTATACACATATGTATATATATGTATATATACATTTATATATACATATACTACACATATATATATTTATACAGCAAGTATACATATATATATATATACATATGTATATACATACACATGTCTATATATATATATATATATATATATACAGTCATATATATATATATATATATATATATATATATGTACACAGACATTTAAACAAAACAGTGACAGTGAACAGCTCTGTTGCAATGACAATATAACCACTCCAGTGATGGCTCATGTGAGCCGAAATCTTAGACCAGCGACTAATATAATAAAGAAATGTGGAACAGTTTTCTTCTTTATTTTCTCTTGAAACTAAAACCATTATACGACACTTAGAAAGGCTCCTGATAAAACGTAATAAACTTTCGTTGTCTGTTATATTTAACAATATATATTTGAATAATGATCTGCTGCCCCGATACACTATATACATATGTATATACATATGTGTATATATATATATATATATATATATAAATATATATGTGTGTGTGTGTGTGTTTGTGTGTGTGTGTGTGTGTGTGTGTGTAAATATATGCACACATATAAATTCATATATTTATATATTTAGGGAGCAAGTATACATACATACATATATATATATATAATATATATATATATATATGAAGAAATATAGTCATAAGATGTGCTATATTTATAGGAAAAAGTATCAGAGATAGAGCGTATGTAAATATAAAAGTGAACATAGAAGTCAACACTTAGAGGCGACAGTCTGTTTCATGCTATAGGCCACGAGTATATATATATATATATATATATATATATATATATATATATATATATACACGTGTATATATTTACACATACAAACACGCATAAATCTGATCGATCGGGAAAATTTATTAATATTCGGGAAAAATATAAGAATGCTGAAAATATTAAATAAAATTTTATTAAATTTTCGTTTCCTATCATATTTAACAATATATACATATACAACGAACCAAAATATTGTTAAATTCTGCCAAATAACAGAAGAACATTAAAAAAATAAACAAAAAACCAATAAATAATGAAATCAACAGAAGATCCGATAATGGGAAAGGCACCAAAACCTGGAAAGAATATACCTAATCACAGAAAATCTACCTATACATTAGTATAAAGTGCTCAATGTCTAAGCAACCAGTCAAACACACTAGATTTAGTATACCCTCTGACGAGTGGACGAGATAATTCTCATAGTGTCCGTCTACAATAATCTGGAATCGGGATGCTGAAGGTAACATCAATCAGCTAAATGACAAATCTTTCACTGGGTGCAGGACAAATCAACACCGCCGACTCAACACCGTCGACTCAACACCGCCGACTTAGCGCCGGGACAACTCAGGACCGAGACAACGCAGCACCAGGAAAACATAACTTTTTTAATAACCGGCTAAATGTAATTTATTAATGATTAAAACCTTAATTAGTGAATATTTCCGTCAAATAAGGCATTTGAAAATGCATTATGTAAAATATGAACAGGTTTTTTGTTTTCAATTATTTTTAATAAAGTACATCGTAAAGAAATTTATTTTGTAATAAAGTAAATTGACACATAAAAAATAATTTAATAAAACACATTTGTTTTTAATTATTTTTTAATAAAATTAATTGAAAAAATGCAAAACAAAATGAGCCAGTTTTTTTTTATTTAATTTTTTTAATAAAGTAAATCGAAATTCTAAAATATTTAATAAAAAAATACTATAACATTTAATGTTGTGAATTATTGAAATTATTTACTTCATTGGAACAAAGGTAGTCGTTAGCCTCCCTTTAAGATGAAAAATACGACCTATGAAAGAACGGTTGAACTTTTGATATGTTTAACAGCCAGTTAACTAGAGTTAGTGTCTCAATAAAATCACCGTGGAGAAAGCAACGAGAAACCACTCCACTATCAGTCAATGTTAATATATTTTTTTAAAGTTTATCAAAATATGCTGCCTACTGTCTAATGGTGCGTTCTTACTATGATTCCCAGATATCGTGTCCATCTGCCAGAATGACTCTCTGCATACACGCTTCGCAGATCATTCACCTGCGTAGTAATTTCGAATTTTACTGGGACCTTCATTACATTACATTTACTAAACTTAGTAAATAGCTTGAGAAACAAAGCGGCTTGATTGACATATTTGTTTCACACGATGTTTAAAAAGATTGTTTCGTATGTATTTCAGTTAATTACTGGGCGTATGAGTCTTTTATAAACAATTTTGGTATGAGGCCATGGATTTGAACTTACTAGTGTACCGTTCAGGTTGGTTAATTTTAACCTATCAGAACCAAATGACAGTGAATTAATAGACAGGTAGATATAGATTCGAGTTACAATAGAAAGAATGTTAAAATTGCACCCCGTTTATACATGATTCTAAATGTAAACATAGGTTTGGTTTGAATGAGAGTCTAAAAGAGAGATATATCTCTAGTTTACCCGAAATTCAGCAAGGTAAACCTAAGTTCGGTTAACACTATTGTCTAAAAGATAAACATGGTCCAGTTTTATACTAGATTAAAAAAAGGTAGGCAAATGTTCGGTTTACACAAGATTCAAAAACGTAAACATAGGTTCAGTTTATATTATAGTCTAAATGATAAACATAGGTTCGGTTCGTACTAGAAGGAAAAATGTCCGGTTTTACACTAGAATCAAAATGGTAGATATAGGTCCGGTTTTACACTAGAATAAAAAAAAGGTAGTTATAGGCCAAGTATAGACGAGAGTCAAAACGGTAAACATAGGTCTGCTTTACACTAGATTAAAAAAAAAAAACTTTTCCTAAATCCGCGATGTGGCTTCCCTCTGCCTTTTCTATAAATATTTTCATGGCAGTTGTTCTAATGAGCTCTCTTCCTTGGTACCCTGACCGCATGAATTTAAGCCGACTACTAGATTGTCAACTAGGTCTCAACGTTTTACTATTGAAATAACTAAGTATAACCCTATAATCTATTCTAATAGTTTCTTTTCTCACAATTCTCATCGGTGGAACACTCTTCTGTTTACTTACTTCCCTGCCGCATATAATCTTCAAAAATTTAAATGCAACGTCAGTCATATAGGCATATTATTATTATTATTATTATAAAAAGTAAAATATAAAATAATTATAATAATGAAAATTATAATTGAATAAAACAATAACATAAAAACGTTCTATAGAATAAATTAATAAAAATACTCCCAGCATGCAACAAAAAATTCTCCCGCCAGAAATACGAACATCCCGCCAAAAGACATTAAATGCAATCTCTTCACTACAAACCTTGGTACGGGCAACACGTGTCCGACTTCTATCTGCGATATGCATTGCGATACTACAGAGTAAATTCTCCCTTTTATCACATGTGCCATGAAACAATTGTAACCTAAAAAATATACATACCAATATATACAAGAATATAAATAAATTGTATGAAATTAACATACAATTTACCATGCTTTTCCTGTTATTTTTGTACATTTTATTTTCTGTCAAGTATGCTTTTATCTCCGTGAACACTTGGCTAATTTCTGATGCTATGATGTGAGTGAATCCCCAATGATGACTGCCGTGTATAAGAAAACAAACCTATTTACCCACAGTCGTTATCTTTTGCCTTCCTGAAACCTGTTCTTTTATTGTCTGTTCTCCTTGCTAAAGTTTTCTTATTCTCCATCACCGCTAGTAATCCCCGGTGTGTTAATGGCATTATTGCCTAGCTTGGGGTGAAATAATTAAAAAAATATATCAGGTTTGTACGAGTCTTTATGTATTCATCGGGAAAGTGGTTCCTTTGGGAGGAATTCTTATTACTCAATGCATGGCTACAATTGGCATATTCTAAGCCGCGTCGACGATTGCACGAGTCAGGCAAGCAGATAAAAAGTTTCTGAAAGGATGTAAAATTAAGACAAACAGAGATACTGTGTATTTTTTTTCTTTCTTTAAGGTATGGAAAGTCTGCGGCTTGCTGGAGTTGACGGTGCCTATCGGGGCCGGGTTGAAATATTGGTCGGAGGCGAGTGGGGCACAATTTGTGATGACGGATGGGATGCCAATGATGCTCAAGTGGTTTGTCGTATGTTATCGCTAGTGTAAGCATTTTTTCACTAACATCTTTTCCTTTAATGTCTTTCACTCACATTTTTATATTGTTTCTTTTTTTTTAAGTAAGATTTTGATTGCTGTTTTTATTGGTACGCAGAAAGACAAGTCCCCAATTGGAATGAAGATTTGTGAAGCAACGATCACTGTCTAGCGGTAAATAGTATATAGAAATGAATTTGAGCTCTGTCACGGCTAGGAAGTAAAGATTGGCCCAATTCCAGCCCAGATTCACACGATATCAAGCTCATCAGCAAGCTAGACATGGATAAACTTAGATCCGGTCGGTTTGTTTTAAACATTGAAAAACAGCCATTTATTCTATTATTTGAAGCATTGCTCTTTCTGTGAAATTTTCGAATCACGTTATTTTTAAAATTTATTTTTTGTTTCCCGTTCGATCTTTTGTAATTAGTGGGATTGCCTCATCAAAAAGTTCCTTTCGTGACGGCTAACAGGCATTAATTAGCACACTGCTTAATTATTTCTAGTGGTGGCGAACCTGTCAAAAGCGGTTGGTTTGGAAAAGGACAAGGTGCTGTATTGATGAGTCAGGTAGACTGCCAGGGAAACGAATTCTCCATCTTTGACTGCGATTACGAGGAAAGTAATTGGTGTTCACACCAACACGACGCCGGAGTTATCTGCGACAAACCGGATAACGGTGAGCACCGGGGATCACGTTTGCATCCTGGAGATGAAACGGTTAACGGTTTTACCACGGTAAAATTTGCGACGGTTAGTAAAATCGTTTTAAAAAAAAAACACTGATCATCGACATTGTCGTCATTTATAAAAGTAAGCGAGTGTTGCTAATTTATTTGGTGAAATGATTTCAACGTCTATATCAAGAATTATTGAACATTATCAACACCTTTCGCAAATACCGCGATAATGCCGTTTACCGTGATAATTCCTGGGTGGCTATAGCTAAATGCAACTGCCATTTCTACTCTAACAGTTTTTTTTCTCGCACCTCCCACCTTATGTTTTCTTGCTTTCCTGTTAATTACAATCTTTAGAAATTGAAATCGCCATCTTCTGTCTTCTTGAACCCCGTTCATCTTTTGTCTTTTCCTCAATCCTCCCTATTGTCAGTTTTTTCTTTCACTTTCATTCCCAGTTACCCCCTGCACGCTAGTGTCATTTCCGCTTTGCTTGCAGTGAAATGATTAAAAAATAAAACTATAAAGGTAACCGAATTTTTCAGACCGTTACCTCTCTATTGCACACGCATCTTTCTTGCTAATTACAACGTTATTGTCTAATATAAAATCATATACGCGGGTTGATCCGAAAACAATGCCTCTTACAACCTCCCCCCCTTTCAGGCAATTCAACATGGTGTAATGAGTTAGCTAGCTTGTCTCGCTAGTTCAATTACGACTGAGTAGTGAGTTCGATACTCACCGGTTGCCCGATATTTCAGCCTTGTGACATATCTAACCTATGATTAGAAAATAATTTGGGCAACTCGACGTAGTGTAATATTTAGTAAGCTTGTCTCGCCAGATCAATTACGACCGAGTAGTGAGTTCGATCCTCACTTTTGGCTTTGTGCCACCATTAAGCTACGCTTAGTAAATCACTATCACCATTTTTTTTTTTACCATCGAACTCTCTGCCTTCGGGCAGAAAGGAACCCGGACGAGTCTATGCCGAAGAGCAGAGTCTCGTTCACAGAGGTAGACAAACCCGATCGCGTTTATGCGGGGTCTACGGGGATTTTTTGGGCCGGGCCTATGGGCTCGGGAACCCCACATTAAATTCGGCCTTGTGCCACATATGACTGTGTTGGGCAGTTGCTAGATGCACTAACGTCCGGATGGTTTGATGTCAATCAGTTCCGCTTGACATATTCATTTGGATTAAATTATGCAGATTCAAAAAATACAAGGTTCAAACTAAACTCCAGGCAGAGCTTTACAGAATTCGTTGAGTGATATGAACGTAGGCGGTGGAATTAGGTCAGAGGTGGGCAACTACGGCCAGCGGGCCATACGCGGCCCGCCAGAAGAATTCATGCGGCCCACCAAATGTTAGTAAATTTGAAAGAGAAAGCAACACCAGATAATTGTTACAAGCAATTTAACTCCGAATTTTAACAAACTGGTAAATAACTGCAGTCAGATACATTATTGTCATTTAGATCCTTCTGTTGCTGAGTTACTTTGTTTTTCAAAAATGTTTCTACTTCAAAACATCAATATTTTTTTCTTTAAACTGAATTACTTTATTTTCAAACAAATCTGTTTCATTTGAAGTTTCTACTTTAAAATCTAAATTACTTTTTTCTTTAAATTTAGTTACTTTATATATGTTTTATTTGAAGTTTCTACTTTAAAATATTAGTAAGAATTGATTTTTTTTATTTCTTTACGCAGAGTTAATTTGTTTTTCAAATAAATATTTTCAACTTTATATTAATGAATAAAAATATTTTTTCTTAAAAGAAGGTTATTTGATCTTTCAAATGTGTTTCATGTAAGTCTTCAACTTAAAAATACTTATTAATATTTTTTCTTTAAAGTATTTTTAAACTGAGTTACTTTGTCTTTCAAATAAATGAGTTTCATTTTAATTTTCTACAGTACTTAATAATATTAATTAATAAAAATTAATTTCATTTTTTTCTTTAAAAGTCTTCTTTTTTTTGTTTATTTTAAATATTAATTATTCTGGGTTAATATACTATGCGGCCCAATAAAATTGTGAATTTTTTAATGTGCCCCTTGCACTGAAAAGTTTGCCCACCCCTGAATTAGGTATCGGAGAAAACGAGGATTTGGTTGATAGATAGCATCTCGTTGCCATGGTTATCATTGAGGAGAGTATACATTGGCTCTAGACTTGAAGAAGTTAAGATTATAGTGCTCAGTGAAATACCCACGCAGGAGCCTGTTACACAAATTTTTGGACGTAGCAAGGAGGATCTTGTCTCTAAATATCTGAGCTGGTGGCACTAAAGAAAGGAGCTCGTTTGAATATTTTCCATGGAAATAACAAGAGAATAACGATAGGCTTTCAACGTTACGACTGTAGGGTGGAAAGTAAGTCATCCTCCACCCATAAGGCTGCAATTATCTGGCTATTAATCCCATTTTTTTTTCGTTGTTGTGATGGACTTTTATTATTTTCTTTTAAAGAACATGGCATCGCTACTTTGGTATAACAAGTTCCTACGGAATGCGTGTTCTAGATTCGTATGGTATAAGGATTTTTGTTAAAAATTCCTACTATTTGATTTGAGAGTTAAACAATATATCAGATTTATAATGTTCGTAAAACGCTTGTAGTTGCTAGTTAGAGAGACTGTAAGGAAAATATTGAAAACAAAAGGTTGGCTGAAGAAGGGTTTAATCACATGAGAGACATGTATTGAGAAAATAGTTCAGTGCGACAAGCGTACGACTGAAAAGCGCTACGCTTTTGCGACCCACTTTTTTGCCCTTGTTCCATGAGCAGACGTTCTACTTACAGCGGATCGGATGAACGAGTCTGTGTTTCAATAACAGTGTAGAGAAGATTAGACAGTTTTCCCAACAAAACGACCGGCCAAAGATCACGTGATTAAAAGCAAACATTAAATAAATGAAGACACTAGTGAAATAAAATAACTCGAATAAAGAAAAATACTTCATTACAAACGCCACAGAATATGAAGCGCCCAACAGATCCGCTTTTACGTACGACTAACCGGTTATTGGCATTATTCAAATCCCAATTATCTGGCGAGAACTGTTAAAAGCCAATTAACGCTAAATCTCACGAGAATTTCAAGTATTCCGCATTGTCATTAAGGAAACTAAAAAAAAAAAATTTTTAAATTGTATCGTTTTTATTTTCTGCAACATTTCGTTTTATTTTTATATTTCCCCAGCGACAAAATATTTCTACACTAAACTGTTTCTTTTCCATTTAACGTTTTCAGATACGTTTTAAAGACATCTTGAGATATGCATGGAGACTTTTCATTATTTTTTATTTCACACGCATTTTATTCTATAACACGCGTTTGAATTTTTCTCAAATGCTAAAAATAATGTCAAAGACTTAAGAGTAAATGGATGACAGAAGAAGGGTACTATAGTTACTTTGAGTGACAATAAATTGAAAAGGCCTGCTATTTGAAAGATGTTTTATTCTACGGCATTTAGTGGACTTATTTTTCTATGTGACGTGTTCCATCAGGACGTTGGCGATAATGCCTCTCCTCATTTTCCTGTTCTTTGTAGCTCTTAATAACTTTTGTCTTTTTGTTATCTTTCCTAAACCTAGTTCCGCCATGCATTTGCACACGCCCTTTCTTCTTCTCCTATGTGTCGAGTCCCTTCAGGACACTGGCAATAATGGCTCTCCACGATTTCCTGTCTTTTGTAGTTCTTTATAAAATTTGTCTTTTTGTTATCTCTCCAAAACCCTGTGCCAACACCTGTTTACTCGCTCCTCCTCCTCCTTCTTCTTCTTCTTCACCTCCTCCTCCTTCTTCTCCTCCTTCTCCTCCTCCTCCTCCTTCTTCTTCTTCTTCTTCTTTGTTCCGTGCCCATTCCTGACGTAGGCAATAATGGTTCTCCCTAATTTTCCCTTTATAAATTGCGTTTTTTCATTATCTTTCCTAAACCCTGTTCTGCCATCCATTTAATAAAATCTCACTAAGTTATGCATTGTTTTTCTCTGTTCCTCTTGCCTTCAATCTGTCCTGTAAGTGTCAGATTTTCCAATCCCTCTTTCTTAATTATATACTCCAGAAACTGTCTCTTCTTTTCCTGATGATAATTGTCCTTTTTGTATAATTGTCCTTTTTGTTTCCATTTTCCCTAAAGCTTTAAGGCGACAAATAGGTTGAGCGGGGGTCTAGGCATTACTGTACAAATCGGGGTAACTGGGACCCAGACAGCGGTTGATTTATATATCTTCTTTTTTTTTTTTTTTTTGCTTGATAAGCTGCAACAAGTCATTGCAAAAAATGCAATAGTATTCAATTTTTTCAAGACACAAGTTGATAAACAAAAAAGGAAATTATTTCTAACTCAACCTAATAGTATGTGTAGAGACAGTCAAAAATTTAACTGGGTAGTGTAGCAACAGACGACGGAAAGACGTAGCGGAATAGCGAAAGATGTCTTCCAAAAGCTAAGCAAAGTATTAAGACTGAATTGTTTAGACTTAGTTTTCTTCCGGCTTATCAGCATTTTTATTTAAAAACAGAAAAAGTTTTCGATTTTAAAAATCTTTTGGGGATAGTAAGGCCGAATGATACAAGTTCTACAATTTAACCCATAGCTGGGGGATAAGAGGTCAATTCATACTTTCCCCAAGGATTATTATGACAGGAAAATTTCATTAGAAACAAAGAAAACAATTTCTGAATTTCTATGCTATAATGAGATTTTGCGTTCGTTATTTTTTTAATTTTTTTTCTCTTGTTAAACCTTGACTGTCCCTAACATCATTTATGTACTATGTCTCTTCAGGACGTTAGCGATCGTGGCTCTCCACCATTTCTTCTCGTTTGCAGATGTAAGCAACGTTTGACGCTTATACCATATCTCCTTGCTCTTGCTCTGGCGTTCGTATACCGAAACTAAATATTAGGTTGGTGCAAAAATAATGACGTAAGAATGTCGTTTTTGACGTTAAAAAATACGTCAAAAAACGATATTATTACATCATTATTTTTGCACCAACCTAATAGGTTATTTGCTCGTTGTTTCCTTCTACCTCCGCCTTCCCTCAATACGTCCCGTGGGTATTAAGTTTTCCAAGCCGTCTTTCCTCATAATGTGTTCCAGAAAAAGTCAACCCTTTCTGATTTTACATTTCGACTTCACATTTTCTTTAGAGCTTCCTCGTTGTTGACATGTTCAGGTGATGGTACTCTCACCATCTGTCTCCATCTCTGTAGTTTCAGGTCTTTCTTTATCTGTCAGGAAATTGTCCAGCATCCAGTGCTATACACGAGTATGCATATTACATTTCAGTACGCTTTTCTTTGTTTCTAACGAATATTCCTATGTCTTATTTCTTGGCTTAGTTTCTGGTTGACAGCTTTCGCCATTCCAGGGCGTTTTTATGTGTAAACAATAAATTTTATTTTTTTCAATTATAACCCAGTCTGATCAGTGTATCTGTCGCGTTCCTCTAATCGATAAAAACGTTCTTTTCATGTTTCCATTCAGTCGATCTCGTAATTTTGCAGCCTATACGGCCTGAACACCGAACACTAAGTCTTAAGACATTGTCTTTGTTCGGAGAACGTGCGTCACATCACGACACGAGTCCCGTAATACCAACAGATAGTAGGTAGGTTCGCCTATCGTCCGGTTCACAATCTTCCACGGTCTTTTCAACAGGAGTAGACGTTTATCCGTTGCTATCGTTTAGGACTTGATTCCCGGCTCCTTCTTCGAAAGACTTCTCGTTTTCTTTTACCTCCAGTAACGTCACTTGCATCTTAGTGGCATTATCGCTTTGTTTGAAATAAAATAATGCTATAGGAGTACCACATGTACTGCAGCCATAGCAATAGTGGTGTGGCTTGGGTGAGATAGTATGACGCAGAATATTCTTCTTTAGGCCGGTTTACAGCTGCATCACGTTGAAACATCGGTTCCCGTATGATCACCGAAGTTAAGCAACGTCTAGCCTAGTCAGTACCTAGATGGGTTACCGCTTGGTAATACCAATTGCTGTAAGCTTGGATTTGCGGGTGATGTAAAAGGGCTGACGGCCACGTCATGTTGAAACACTGGTCCCCGTAGGATTACCGAAGTTAAGCAACATTGTACCAAGTACCTAGATGGGTAACCGCTTAGGAAAACCAGGTTCTGTAAGCTTGGATGAGCGGGTGGAGTAACGATAATGTCTCGGAATTGTTAATCAGGAAGCCGAGTTCCAATTAGCAGCGACATTTACTCCTATGCAACAATTTTTAGAATGTTGTAAATATAAAATTATTCTTGTAAATAAACAATCTAATAAATAAATATTGTTCTTAATATTTTTGTAGTAAAGTATCAAGAGCAAAAATGTATACATTATTATTTAGCAGATGTTGATGTTTTATTACTATTCTAATGAACGCTTTTAAAACAATAAACTGGAGAGTGAAGTTAGTTAAAATAATAATGTCAAGGGAAAATCCGTCATCTTTTTTGCGGGTAAGAACGTCCAATTTTGCTGAAATGCCACTGAGCAAGCAATATGACTCAACTAAAATATTCAGCCCAGCTAGCATGGTGGACACAACTCGCATCGAAAATACTCAAGAAAATACAAAAAGACCACTTGCAAGTGGTATCATCAATACCCGAGGATGGCCATCTTTAAAGGTTCCATCAAAAATGCTCTCAGTGATGTTAAGCGCAAAAGAGATGCTTTTATTATAAATTTCGTAAATGTTGTTCAAAGTTGTGATTAAATTAAAAATAAAACAAAATTCTTTTTGTGTAATTGTTTCTTTCTCTTTTTTTTTTTTTTTTTTTTTTTTTTTTTTTTTTTTTTTTTTTTGTTCCATAGTGTCTATTTCCATCCGGCTCACAGACGGGGATAACAAGACATTTGGTCGAGTGGAAATTTACCACGATAATCTGTGGGGCACTCTGTGTGACAGTCTCTGGGATGATTTAGACGCCAGCGTTGCTTGTCGAATGTTGGGTTTCAAGTAAGTGTTATTTTTGTGGCCAGTTATTCAATTTAGAACATAATATCCATCAGAGTGTATTAAAAAAAATCCTGTTTATAGCAGCTACCATGAGTATTTGGAATCTGATTAAGCCCTTTCTCCATGAGGAACAAAGGTTATCATTAGATTTAGAAAAGAAAGAAATTCGATTTTTGATGGTAAGTTAATAAACTCTATAGATATTTTTGTCTTTCGATCTTTAATCAAAGATCATCATCATCAGTCCCAAGACCAGCTGCGGTCTTAGGATCTGTGCGCAGTTGAGCACCCGGCCTGTTCCCTCTGACAAACTCTATCAAGGTAAAAGATTGTGTGGATTTTATTTTGCAAGAAGTGTTTATAAACAAAAGTAAAAATGTTGTTAGTTTTTTCTTCCAAAATTTTAGTTTTAAGCGATACTCGCAAATCTTCATCAGGCTAACTGAAAAGTCTAGATAAATTATGGAAGGTGGCGTAATTTAATAAACGAAAGTGGGCCACCCACCTAGGAACTGACCAGTCACGATGTTGCTTAACCTGACGACTAATTATCTGTTGTTTCAACGTGATATGATCATAATCCATATCGCCTACACATTCAAGCTGATAGCCCATGCTATTTCCAAGCAGTTCTAGGTACTAAACAAAATCGAAGTTGCTTAACTTCAGTAATTGTAAGGGAAGCGGTGTTTCAACGCTATATAGACGTACGTCCTGTGTATATATGCATGTATGTATCTACCTACGTATGTGTGGATATGTGTGAATGTAAGTTGGTGTGAGTATGTGTGGGAAATTAAATTTCTTGCATCAGCTTCCCAATTAGATAATTGGGAAAATGTAAAAGCGAAAACAAAATAAGTTGTTTTTGTATTTGTTTTGAAAGCTCATTCAAAGGAATTTAATAATTGACCACTCTTAAATACGTAAGAAAACGGAATATACATACACACACAGACACAGAAACACACACAGCCATATATATATATATATATATATATATATATATATATATATATATATATATATATATATGTGTGTGTGTGTGTGTGTGTGTGTGTTTAGGTGATGAAATGTTTGGTAATCTGTATGGATAATCCAAGGAGGATGTAATCCACAGAGCTCAATGTAAAAACTGAGCGAATATTGGATGAATTAAAAAAAAAAACAGACAACGTTAAGGACCCATAGATTATATTTTTTTCCCCAGGAATGGGATTTTTACCTGGTTCCTCAGATCACATTTCCAAGTATAAATTTATTTACATTCAGCTCTCTGGATTACAACCACCATCGGTTTATCCATACGGATTACCAAACATTTCATTAACTAACTCTCTCTCTCTCTCTCTCTCTCTCTCTATATATATATATATATATATATATATATATATATATATATATATATATACTAGCTGTAGAGCCTGGCGATACCCGGGGATGTAACAGTAAGAGATAGATCAAGTATCGACCATCATAAAGACTGAAAAATAAAATTGACAAAGATTATTGTTTAAGGTTGACGGACACACATGTCTTAATTAGTCTTTTTTTTGTTTTTGTTTTTGTTTTTCTTTTACGAATTGGTGAAACCCAAACTCAAACAAAAACATTGTTTTCAATCGTTATGAGTCTACCGATTGAATAGAATTTTATTATAAACAATTGTCTTGTAAATGGAATTTTTAAAGCATTCTGAATGTAAAAATAAAGAAAAAAGTGTGCAAGATAATAAAAAACACTATCTACCAAAAAAATGAAGTTTTGTTGAAATCGGTTGAAAAATGTAGGAAATCCGATCCCATATATAAACGAACACACACACACACAAAAACCTGGGTTTTATAATAAGTATCACTCGATACGAGTTGTCCCCCTTTCATTATCGTGATGCCTCTTAATCGTGTTTTCAAATTGATTTCGTGCAAAACCAATTGTGTTTTTCCAATTTTTGGCACTGTCAGAACCACCACAAGGTAATTTTACTTCCTGTGAAGTTTTGTTGAAATCGGTTGAAAAATGTAGGAAATCCGATCCAATATACAAACGTAGACACACACACACACACATACACACACACATACACACAACCTGGGTTTTATAATAAGTATATATATATATATATATATATATATATATATATATATATATATATATATATATATATATATATGGGGAGGTCCGTTTTCGTACGTATTTAAGTGATCAATTAAATTTCTCTGAATGAGCTTTCAACGCAAACACAAAAAACAATTTATTTTGTTCCATGCTAGCAATTTCTTTTCTCGTGCTTTTCGTTTCCGACTCTATGCTTTCTAGCGAACTTTGATCTTTAAAAATTTAAATGTAATGTCAAACGCAATCTACTGTCATGATTAGTCTTCTATTCTTCTCGTTCGGTCTGACGTGTCTTGACCTCTCGGCTACGTAGCATCACCTGATCAAATAACACACGAATAGTGCCTTTGAAAACATATTTTCCCGATTTTCGAAATATATATATATATATAATTATTTATTTAAAAATATGATTCCTATTTTTAAATAAATAATTATATTTATGCTCTACTTTTGTATCGAGCACTATTTTTTAAAAATAATAACTAAAATACTAAGGGACTTTGGATTATTTACCTAACCAATTCCTTCCTATTTTCTATATATTTCCACACACACACACACATATATATATATATATATATATATATATATATATATATATATATATATATATATATATATATATATATATATATATATATATATATATATATATATATATATATTTCGTATCCTAACGTAGCCAAAGACAATTTTTAGAAAACTGATTAAATCTGACACGTTTTTAAAAGATTTCCCATATGGGAAGCAGGTTCGAATCCTGCCAGATGGCTCATATTTTTCTAACAAGATTTCTCAAATATTTAGACCGACAGATGTAAATAAATAAATACATATCTTTAATAATAAAAACAAAGCATCTAATCAAATATGAATATCCATTAAAAATAACGTTTAAACAAATAGATTAAAAATGTCGGATTTAATCCATTTCCTGATATATATATATATATATATATATCGAAACGTAAAAGAACGAACAATAAAATGTACAATTTTGTAGTAGCTATTTACATGTTCTAATGTAACAGTATAATATATATATATATATATATATATATATATATATATATATATATATATATATATATATATATATAATTAATAATTTTCATTAAATAATATAGACAAGTGTTGTCTATTTATCGTTGCTTGAAATCATCCATGTAAACAATCACAGACTATCATCACTGTCTTGTCCGTATATTACTTAATATATTGTACAGTAATTGACATCTTTGATAATGGCTTATGTAAGCCGAAAGCTAAGATTGGATTAAAAAATATGGATCAATATTGTGATTTTCTTTCTTCGTTTAATGATAATGCTATTAAGACGTTATGAAAAGAATTTATATAAAATAAATAGACAACACTTGTCTATATTATTTAATGAAACATGTATGAATGCAAAAATGCTGCCTAAATACAGACACTATAATTAATAGACAATAAAATCCAAAATCACCTCATATGGAGAATAGTCTATTTCGGCAGACTTAGATACCAGTCATCTGTCTTATCAACCCCGAAGTCAAATGAGTTCGTTTCTGAAATAGAAATTTAACTGTTAAAGCTAAAAAAAAAATTCAAAATCCAATTCAAATTTCTATGATAAAGGTTTAACTTGATTAGCTACTATATTTCAATAAAATTCACTCCCCCTCTAACTCTTCAAGTGTCGAAAGTATAAATATTTCTAATTTCTATATTCCCCCCTCTATAACCTCTTTACACTATATTAATTATAATTTACAAACTCCCCAACTCTTTTCCCATTAATCCCTTACATATTTTTATCTATATATTTTAAACCCCTTTTTATTCCTCTTTTAAGATTAATATTCGGGTTTAATTTTATAAAACTTCTTCCCTTTAAGACGAATAATCCACCCTCTCCTGACCCCTTCCTCGTGCCTTTCGCCTGAATGAAACATTGAAATGGATCAATTCTGTATTAGTTTTTCGACTGGTTGTGTTTTTTGTTTGTATTTCACAGTTAAATTTCTATTTCTGACACGAACTCAATCCACACCGGGGTTGATAAGACAGACAATCGTTATCTTGGTCGGCCGAAACAGGTTATTCCCCATATGAGGTGATTTGGGATTTTATTCTTTATTAATTATATTGCTCTGTAATAATAAATACATTGAGCTCTTTTTGTGGATCAGTTTTAATATTTTATATTACTAGGATTCACTAGGATTATATATCAACGGATTTGTTACCTTAGTTCTCTCTCTCTCTCTCTCTATATATATATATATATATATATATATATATATATATATATATATATATAATCTTGTTTAACATCTCTCCTCGTCAAGCGGCTTAGAACTTGATGAAAATACTGATAAATACATTAAGAACCCATTTAATGACTTGCGTGATTAACTTGACAATCCCTTCAAGCTTCTAATTGATTAACCAGGAAGTAGACGGAAGCAGTTTAAATGTCTGTTACAATCTTAGAAGGATTTAGGTTAATATCAGGTTACGAACAAAGTACCCGTACATCTCGTTGTCGTTCAATAAGCAGTTTCACTTTGATGTAAATAGCAAGCAGAAATTTCAGAAAAAAAATGCGAGTATTTTTTATTGTTGATTTTTTAAGGATTAAGAAATAAAAATAGACGAAAATTCATTTAATATTTTATTATAATTTGGCTTGACTCTCCCTTTTCACAATTCATATTCCCCCAGATTTGACTGGGGTCGTTTAAAATGAATATTAGCTCAAGCCTCAGGTGCGCCATCCAGCCAGGCAATACCTCTCCATCGGGAGGGGGCTGGGGTCATTACCTGCCGTCTGAGACGTCCCCAAAAGGCGAAATACCGAGTGTGCTTAAGTATTTTTTTCTATGGTATTGCAG